CTGGCTGGCCTTTAGAAAGAAGCTACAATCCAACCCTTTCCGTTCCATTCAACAAGAATATGTGCAGTGCAAATCCTGGGCAAAGGCTTCCTGAATATTCTGGGGAAATCCCTTCATTTTGCAGTCTGAGAGGGAAAGTGACTTGTACTGGCTACAGAATAAGTGGTAGATTCCACTGGATGTGGAATCCAGACTTTTTTGCCCCAAGCCCAGGCTTAGATCATGGGAACTGAGAGCTGAAGGGTGGCCCTGTGAATTCCCTCATCCAATCCCAAAGTTTACAGATGGGGAAATTGAGACCCAGACAGGGGATGGGACTTCCACAGCCCCTACTTGTCTCAAGGGAAGGAAAATCATGAACACGCTGCTTGTGTGTGTCAGAGGACAGACCAGAAGCATTCCTAGGGGGCCTCAGGAGTGCCTCTTAGCTGCTATGGAAGGAAGGAAGGGAGGAAGGAAGGGAGGGAGGGAGGGAGGGAGGGAGGAAGGGAAGAAGAAAGGGAAGGAGGGAAGAAGGGACAGGAAGGGAGGAAGGAAGGGGGGAAGGAAGGGAGGAAGGGAGGAAAGAGGGGAGGAAGTCAGGGGCCAGAAGGCAGGTGGACCCAGGGCCACCATCCCCTCCATCCCTCTCTCTGAACTCCAGCACTCTTCAGATGAACGAGGCTCTGGGCCTGAAAGATTCCAGCATCTTTAAAGAGTTCTTCTAAGAGGGTAACATCGCTGAAAAGCAGTTTCTGGAGAGAAGGGACTCACTTTCCCGGGGCTGAGAAAGAAACTTGACCAGAGGGAGTGGGGGGAAGGGCGTGAAGGAAGAAAACAGGACTGTCAGATTCCAGGAGGGTGGGAGTGTCCCCTCCCCCTTGTCTTTGTGCCAACCATGGGCCCAGTCTCCAGTTTGGGGCAGGTGGGTGGGACAGTGAGGCGCCAAGTGAGCTGGCCCTACTTCCCCTCTCCCCCATCAATTTGTCTCAGCTAGGGTCAGGGGCCAGGAACAAATGCTGTCAGGCCAGCTGGCCAGAGAGTTCCCAATTAGACTTTGTGTCTCATCCTTAAGGCCCTGAGCCCCCAACCCCGGCACCCTGGCCCAATTACTGCCCAGCAGCATTAACCCCTTGGTGCCCCAGGCCGTTAATGGAATGTTAATTGGTCTAATGGGTTTCATGTCAACAAGTCCTAATGAGCTCCTTCCTAATGAGCTTGGTATTTTTTTCTGAGCCTGTTTGTCAACACACTGGATTTGGGGCTCCAGACTGCCGGCCTGGTGGTACAGGGCTGTGGGGGGAGTGGGTTGAGGAGGCTGAGGGAGGCAGGTGCCCAGGATTGCCCATCCCATTTCCTAAAGGGGTGTGCTTTTATGACTCTGCATCCACTGACCCTGCCTCGCCGACTCCTGGGCTCTCTAACATGGCATTTTAGTTTCTTCTGATGATATCGGAGACACAAATGATTTATTCTTGGTTAACATTGTGGGGTCGAGTGTTGCGTTAGAATTTTTCCCTCCTAGATGTCTTATCATAAAGGTTTTCAGCACTGAACAAAACAAATCAAAAAGCAACCTTTCCCCGTGAGCCTGTTCACGATGGGAAATCTCTCCGTGGGAGACGCTCCTGTCTGGCCTCCATTTGCAGTCTTGCCTGTGCCCCCCTTGAATGCCCAGGTGTCTTGTGACAGAGCACTGGGGCCTCTGGACAGGGCCAAGCAGCCTCTCAGAGTCCGTGACAAAAGCTCTGAAGCCCAGAGGTGGGTTTGCAGGGGCTCAGGCCTGCTGCTCCTCTCCCTCTCCCAAAAAAAATGCAAAAAAGGCAGGCTTCCCCCAAAGGGCCAGGACCCCTGCTGTGGCTCAAGGAGTTCCCCCACACCCCACTGCAAAGTCCCAGCCAAGTCCCAGATAAGGCGAGTCAGATCCCCAAATTCCTCTCCAGGATGGTTGCACGTGGCCTCTCAGGAACCGGGGAAGTGCATGTGTGGGTGGAGAGGTGTGAGGCAAAGAGCCAGCTTCCGGACATGGGTGCAGGGTCCTCCCGCAGCTAAGCTCCCGGAGTGTCAAGTTGCCAGAGGCTTCTGTGCCTGAGCGAGCAGAGAAGGAAACTTAAGCCTCTGTTGAAAAGGCCTCCTGTTCTCTTGCAGGAGAAGCCCCCAGAGGGTAATGGGGCAGTGGCCTAGTGGCCTATGGTGACCCCAAGGAGGGGGAGGGTCCAGGGCCATCTGGGTCCTCAGAATATTATTCCTGTGTCTTCTTCCTAGGCGGGTCTGGCCCTGCTCCACAGCCTGGTGGGCTCAGGACTGAACAGTCTCCTCTCAGCCTCACAGGTGGTTGTCTCTGGGTGCAGACCACTCTTAGCCAGCCCTCCTTACCCCCAGACACGGCAGCCCTCCTGCTGCTACCAATGTTTCTAGGGACAGCGCCTCTGAAATGACCCTGCCTTCCATTCATTGGACGGTGAACAAAAGAATGTGAATGAAAGGCGCCTCTCTGTAGCCTATGCCCCCTCGTTGAGCTTCCTTTGTTTTGCCTTCATTATGACTTTCTAATCCATGGAATGAGGTTACCAAAAGACCCAAGCCGGAGGTTAAAGAGAACTAGTTGCCCCTAAGAGGGGAGAAAGCCCTCCTTCCTGAGGCGGCTCCCACGCTGACTCTGCCCCCAGGCTCCCTCTTCTGGAGGCTGCAGGCACTACAGTGCTATAGCCCTTCACGTGTTTCCCCTGCCGGTGAGCATCTGTGATCTGTGCTCTGAGATCCCACCATCCTGGTCCTTGGGCCCTATCCAAAGTTGCCTTCTCTGCCAGAGTTCCAGGGAAGGTTATGTTTCATAGTCCCCTGAAACATTCCTATTTCCTTTATTTTGTCAGGGTCCAAAAAAGAGAAACTCCACCCACTTTAATATCTCAAAAGTCTTAATTCTGGAACTTCCTTCTGATGTCTCAAAGAGTCTGTATCTCCCCCCCACACACACACCTTTTTCCTTCTGCAACCCTCACTCTGCTCTTGGCTCTCTGGGATGCTGACCACCACACAGACAAAAATCCAGCTGTGAACAGAGGCCTTGGTTCCCCTGCCTGAAGAGAGAGGCTCCCCCAAGGCCCCCTCCTGCGTCCCCTTGCAAAAGGAAATTGGATCTCAGGGACTAGTGGCGTGTGAGATGGGCGAGGCGCTGCGTGCTGTTGTGAAGATATCCTGGTGGTCCGTCCAGGTGGGGGCGAGCAACAGGCAGTGAGGCCGATGGAACCAGCCCGCAGTTGGCGTTTTTAGCACTGGGGGAGCCATCCCTCCCGGTGCCTTCTCCACCCACCTCCACCTCACTTTCTTCCTCCTGTAGGACCATGACCCCCCTCTCCTAGCCATGCTCCTTGGAGAGAAGACCTTGCCTCATTCATCTGTCTCACCACACTCCTCACTCAGTTCTCTGCACAGAGTTGGTAGTTGGTAGACATCTATTGAGTGAAACACGCATTTCCAGTGCTTTTTGCAGAAGGTCAAAGTGTACTTGGTACCTTGGAGACTCAGGTCAGGTCAGAGTAGCTCTTACTTCCCTTTCCTGAGAAAGAACCAAATGAATCACACACACACACACACACACACACACACACACACACACACACACGACCCTGGAGGCCAGCCCCTTTAGTTGATAGCAGCTCCAAAGCACTCTCAAATTCCCACAGAATTCAGGACTGTGAACATTTTGGAAGAGCCTGGGAAGGGCCAGGCTGGAAAAGGATGAAGCCCTGGGTGCTTGAGGGAGAGGTATGAGTGCTGTGCTCACAAAGGTTTCTAGACCAACAGTGCCCTCCACCCAGGAGAAGAACACGTCCTGCACTCCACAGAGGCTCTTAGCAACCTCCTACCCTACAGTGGACAGCCCCGTATCAGGCAACTAGCCTGTGGCTTCTAGATCTAAATATTTCAGAGCATCTACTGTAGCACAACAGCTCTCTGGGCATTCTGTTTCTTGGGTGGCACAGCTGGGCTATCTCCACTTATGGCACCACATCCTAGTTCAAGAGGAAGTCTTGAGGCTTCATGGGGACAGCTCGCCTGCTTACTGGTGATGGGGAAAAGGTGGGGGGAACAGTGGAGCAGACCCAGAGCTGGGAATCTGGAGGTGCTGCTTCCATCCCAGCTTCACCAGCAAGTCCCCCAACCCCCGCCCTCCCATACACAAGTCACCCTTGGCCTCTGTCTTCTACCAGCCAAAGAGGCAGGTAGCCCATTTGGCTCTGACAGCTCTTCCCGCTCCCACACATTCCGGTGACCATACTAAACCAAGGCTGAGGAAAGTCCTGCTTAATAGGATATGCAGGCACATCTGTGGACACGCCCATAGTCACAAGCCCGCGCCTGGAAAAGTACAGGAGTGGACGGCATTCCCTGCCTGTTTCCCTTCCTCAAGGCCTCCAGGCAGCCACCCTGGGGCTGCAGTCTGAAGAGGGGTCCGGGGCCCCGTGTCCTTGCCACCACTAGGAGGTGTGGTGAGCCCTGGGGAGGGGCGAGCTCAGCGCTTGAGGACCCTGGGGCTCTGTAGCTGGCCTGGGGCCCTCCTGCCCCTGTGCGCGCTGTGGCTGCTCCAGAAAGCCTGGGGAACAGCGGGGCCAGGAGCACCCTTATCAGGCTGGGACTCAGGGCCCTCCTGGGGACGGAGGGGTATCCAAATGGTCTCCAGTCCCCCGTGCTCCTACCAGGCAGGCCTCCTCCCCCTTAGGACCCCTCCCCACATGCACAACAGGCCTGAGCTGATGCTGAACAAAGCGCCGCTGCAGGGGTACCGGTTGTTTTACATATGATTTGAATATTGTTTCTTTCAAGTCAAAATAGCACAGCAAGCCCCTCCCCACCCAGGCTTCTCCCTTAGCTCTCATTTGTTGCCCTGAAGGGCGTGCAACCCTTGCTGCATCCGGCCGGCCCAGGTGGCCCAGCGGGGGACACAGGGAGCTGCTGGGTGCCCAGGGCGGGCCTGCTCGGCGGTGTTAACGGTGCGGCCCCCTTTCTCCTGCCCACAGGTCCTCCATGTGAATCAATCCCATGATGCAACATGCCTCCCCAGCCCCCGCTCTGACGATGATGGCCACGCAGAATGTCCCGCCCCCACCCTACCAGGACAGCCCACAGGTGAGTGCGCAGGGGCCGCTGTCTCCCACCATGGGGGAGGGAGTGTGGTGGCCTTAGAGCCCCAGCTGCAGGCTGGGATATTCCAGGGGCGGACGGGCTGAGCCAGGCCTCCCACAGTCATGTCCTGGCGGCACTCCTGGCTCTTCCCCCTCAGCCTGGGGAGCGAGAGTCCTGCAAACATAGACCCCAAGGGGAGCCACCAGGTTCAGAACCCGGGACCTAGGACTGGAAGCTAGAGTAATGGTCACAGTCCTGTCCCCCACCCCACCCCTCAGACAGCAGAGAAGCCCAGCCAAACCCCTTTGTTGTGACTGGGGCAAAATCCACAGCTGGGGAGACCCAGGTACCAGATGTGAGTGGAACCGCCCTCTGAGTGTTTGAGAAACTTGCTACTCAGAGGCTCCTGAGTGTCAGGCCCCCGTTCTCCGTCACTTGGGCTCTTGTCCTCCTCTGCCTGCCTATCGGGAGAATCTCTGTTCTCTTCAGAACTCCTCTGGGCTTCTACTTTTTAAAAGCCAAGATTCCTTCTGTATACCCCACAACCCCTTTCTTCTGGTCCCCAGTTTCCACCCCTCAGCTCAGACACAGCTGCCCCCCAAGATCTTCTGCACCCCCTACCCCGATTGCCACTCCTGCAACAGCCCCTTCTCAGCAGTGCCTTCTGGCTGTCTTCATGCTGTCGGCCCTCCTCCTCCTGGAAGCCTGCCCAGCTTGTGGGGGCTGCCCTCCCACATCCTTGAGACCAGCCACTTTTCCTATTTGCTTCCCCCAGGTGCTCCTCTTGTCCACCTTTGGTTCTTTGGAAACTTTGAGTTTTGTGTCTGTGCTTTCACAGAAGCCTTCATTCTCTGACGCCTCCCTTCACACTCTCCTGTCAATATGAATTCGACAATTATTTATTGGGCACCTGTGATGTGAAATGCACCCAGCTAGAATGTCCATCCTCACATTTGCCCATGTGCAGCAGTTGCCCGCTGAGTGCTATGGGCAGGCTACCATCTGCACTCCTCCAGCAGCCAGTCTCTGCCTTACCCTGCCATCCCTCACTCATCAAACACAGCGGTTCTCATGGGCTACATGGAAAATTTGTGCAGCATGAAAGGGGTCTTAAGATGCAGATGCTGGGCTTGTGCTCACTATGGTCCTGATGCCCCCAGCCTAGTGAGAGCATCTAGTAGCTGCTTTATACATCATTGTCATCCCCCGGGAGATTACCAGATGCTCTGGGGCCTCTTTCTAGCGTACTCAGCATATGGAACCCCTTTGACTGCTCTGCCCTTGAAGGTCCAAAAGTGCTGGTCCTTCACCCATGCTGAGCACGTGTCTACGGCCCCACTCCCACATATCAAATCACATTACTTCCCCAGCTCTCCCAGCCTAACCCCATCCTCAGTGAACCCACCGCTCATGCCAGTAGTTTCCATGAATAAGCCACAAGGTTGAACTTGGCCTTTACATGGCTCTTGTATTTGAAAGCTTCCAGGCATTCAGCACTATGTCAAGTCCCTTCCCTCTGTAGTTTCAGCTCCCGAGACAAAGTTCAGAAGGAGCCCTCAACTGATGGGAACCTTTTGCCTCCCAAGAAAAAAGTGAGAGAACAAGAAGCTAGGGGCCAGAATAGGGGCAAGATCTTCCTTCTTTGATAGCAGCAGATCCGTTCCCACTCTGCTCAGCCAGCACACATCAGTGCCCACATATCGATTCAGTGGTGGGAACTTGGGCTCCACTTGTTTTGTAACTGGATTCTCTCGTCAGAATGGGGAACAGAGATGGGGACCCTTCCTGTATTTAGCAGGTGGTAGCTGCCAAGGCCCACACCTCCATACCCAAGACTCAAGGATAGACCAGGGCAGGGCTGAGAGGTCAGAGAACACTGCGTTGGCATGACTGATGGCGGCCGCTCCCCTCTCACCCACCCCTCCCTGTTTTGACTGCCTGGGCAGCTGGGAGAAGTTTTGGTTTGGCGGGGATTAGCGGGAGAGCTGCAGCAAGGGCCTGTGTTGAATGCTGATCCAGAAGCCTAATTTAATGATCGGCATACAGCTGGATTAATACATCCCAGCTGTCGAGGGACGGATGGAGGTGGGCTGCAGTCCTAAGGTGCTCAGCTCCCCAGAAGTCACCACTAAGCTGCTCTAGCCTTTGTGAGGTAGAAGGGAGACTCCACTTCCATATCTAAGGTCTTAGACAGAAGCCAGATACAGGGACTGCCCGAAGGCTCTCCTCTCTGAGGATCCTCCAGACTGTCACCATTTAAAATCTTCACATTTAGAGCAAAGGAATAATTTGTCCTGGGGAAGCTGCCATCTATTTGTAACCCTGGCAATCCATGAGTGAAATATCTGACGAGAAGCATCAGTGTCCATGGTGAACTGACCAGGTCAAGGTGTCAGGGTCTTCATGGCCTTGACGAAGCCACTAGGCTATGCCCAAATTGCCATTGGCCTTCCCCAAGCTGAGCTGGTTCCCGAGGAAACTGAGCTGGATGTGGGGCTAAGGGAGAGGAGCTTGGGCAGGGGTGGAGTTGGAGGGATGGGGGAGCTGGTGGAGGCCCCCAGAACAAAGGCTTCTGACTCTAGGGGGAGAGGCTGTTCTCTCCGGAGAGGGCTGGTATTTGAGGGCCTTCTGCCCACTCTTTCGGGCTTCTAGGAGGGGCTCCCTTGTAGGAATAGCTCTTCCATGCATGCCTGGCTGCTGGCACTTTCTGCAAACTTGCATTGGACCCCTGACTTCTTCCCTTTATCTTTTCGAGATATGGATCCCAGCTTCCTAGGGGGAGACTCTACTGCATTTCCCTTCAGAGTGTTCATATCCCCGAGAACCAGCCACTCTCTGAGACTCCACATCTTCAGGGAAGCAAAGCCTGATGGGGACATGGGTCAGGCACACCAGGGAATCCTGTCCAAAACAGAGCTCTCAGGAAACAAGGCCCACTCCCTCCTCATTCCTTTAGGTCTAATCTCATTATGTTTGGACCACGTATGACTTGTTTCCTCACAACCTGGGCAGCTAAGCACACTTCTCCATCACCTCTTCAGAAACCCAGTTTCTTCCACAGGCAACAAATGGACAGTCTCTGATACCAAGTCCCCCAAATGAAAAAGGAAGCGAGACGCAGAGCCCTTCCTCTGAGACCCATGCGATCGTTTTAATAATGTTCCCGTTGTGCTAAGGGCTAGCAATGCCGAGCATAATCTATTCAAATGCACAGGAGAATCTCACTTTGGAAAATTAGGAATCTGCATTAAAAAATTCCCAAGCCCCGGACCTTCTTCATAATAAATTAGAATTTTTTTTCAAGGCAAGTTCTTAACTTGGCAATTTCATTTTTGAAGTTTGGGGAATAAAGTTATTAAAAATGAGGAAGGCCTTTTTTTTCTCCCCATTTTAGTAGAGAAACATTCATGGTTATGGCCTCGTGCTATTTGGGCACAAGCCAAGTGATACAATGGTTAAGCGGCTTCTAGCCCCTCGGTTCTGTTGCAGTCCATCCTGGAGAAATTTTGCGATTGTTTGTAAGGTCGTCACTCTGTTGATTGTGCACCGAAGGATGACTGTATGTTTAGAAAGTGCAAAAGCAGGCTGGGCACGGTGGCTCATGCCTGTAATCCCAGCCCTTTGGGAGGCCAAGGTGGGTAGATTGCCTGAGGTCAGGAGTTCGAGACCAGCCTGGCCAACATGGTGAAACTGTCTCTACTAAAAATACAAAAAGTATGTAATCCCAGCACTTTGGGAGGCCGAGGCGGGCGGATCACAAGGTCAGGAGATCGAGACCACAGTGAAACCCCGTCTCTACTAAAAATACAAAAAATTAGCCGGGCGCGGTGGCGGGCGCCTGTAGTCCCAGCTACTCAGGAGGCTGAGGCAGGAGAATGGCGGGAACCCGGGAGGCGGAGCTTGCAGTGAGCCAAGATCGCGCCACTGCACTCCAGCCTGGGCAACAGCGTGAGACTCCGTCTCAAAAAAAAAAAAAAAAAAAAAAAAAAAATACAAAAAGTAGCCAGACATGGTGGCACACGCCTGTAGTCCCAGCTACTTGAGAGGCTGAGGCAGGAGAATTGCTCGAACCCGGGAGGCGGAGTTTGCAGTGAGCCAAGATTGCACCACTGCACTCCAGCCTGGGAGACAGAGTGAGACTCCATCTCAAAAAAGAAAAAAAGAAAGTGCAAAAGCAACAGCCCAGTGGAACCCTCCCTGTGACCTACTTCTTCCTTCTGTTAGCTTCCTGCTAAATTCTGCCAGAGTAGCAGCACCCTCTACTGTCTTAACTACAGGACCCCAATTCCAGCATGCTGTAACTGGGTCCTTGATGCAGACCCTCACTTTGTGCCCTGAAGAGGTAGGGTTAAGTCACCAGGGTGGTGTAATTCTACCATGATTGCCTAATGACCACACTGTCTCTAGAGAGACCTGGATGTGAAATAGGCGTGTGATCCTCAGTTCAGTGCATTGTGTTGATTCCAGCATCACCCCGCTTCTGTTCTGCATCTCTGCCATAGTGGCCTGGCTGTCAGCTGGACTTTCACAGCCCCGACCTCCCACTGCCCCAGCATCCCCACTGACCCTTCCATTTGCTACTGTTTCTTTCCTCTCCTGCCTTGCTTAGTATCCTAGCAAGTGTCACTCCAGCCTCCCTCCCAGAATTTTCTTGGGAACACACGACCACCCTGTCACTCCTAGGCAAATACCTCTGATTCGTGTACTCTCAGAAATGTCACTCGAGACCTTCCTGTAACACCCATATGCAACATCACCCACCAAGCGAAGTTCTCACTTCTGTAGCTCCATCAGCCACTCTGGGGAGCCATCCGGGTTCACTAGCGAAGGCAACCACTTCACTCCCCTCACCTTCCCACACACAAAACACACTCTCATTATGAGCACCACCCCCCACAACTTTTCCTCAAACGCAGACACATACCTACCGTTCCAAAAATAGCTTTGCCCTTGGCTTATTAGCAAGATAAATATTGTATCTATTTGAGTATGTATTCAATGTT